TTTTTTTTTTATTTTTTTCTTCAGTAAACCGTATTTCTGAAATACGGTTTTTGTACAAATAATATAAAATAAAAATGACACCGTATTCAAGGAATACGGTTTTATAATCAAATAAAAATATTTTGTAAAACGTATTCATCGAATACGTTTTAAAAAACGTATTCCTCGAATCCGTTTTTAGTTAACCGAAGACCACTTCTCTATTATTTTTCTTCTTTATTTTTTGATTAAAACAGTTAAATAAAAACGTATTCACGGAATACGTTTTTTGGAAAAATTAAAATTTTGAAAACCGTATTCCTGGAATACGTGTGTTCTATTTTTTTCTACTCCTTTTTTTCTTTTTTTTTTTTTGTCCACCGATTTTCTTAAAGTTTTTTTTTAGTAATATTTTCTGTGTAAAAAAGTGATTTTTCGCTGAAAATAGTAATGTAATTATATAAGCTCAAAAATTAAAATTGGCTCGACGAGACGAATTCTGGTATGTCTTTCTAGGCCCACCTACACCCATGACCAATCTCCTGACGCCCTAGAACTGTCGGATCCTCGTAGTCGTAGCTCACTATCTCCCAACTTCAACCTTCACATTTTCTCCTAGAATTTAGCTCCTCGTGTTCGATTACAAGAATCCTCAATTGTATTCTCCTGTGCGTGCCTCCATTTTCAGTTCGAAGATTCAGTGATAGTAATTTTCAGCAGCAATTTTCTTCGTAGATACAGGGTATACGTACGGAATCTGTGCACTCTTGCCTAGCGTTGTAAATCTTTTGATCGAATTTTGGTAATTTGAGATTTCCGATGAGCTATAGAGCGAGATATCCACCGCCTGGAATGGGCGGGGGGACAGGCGGAAGGAACCCAAATGCCGGGCCAAACCCTAATTTTCAAACGAGAAACCCTACGCAGCAGTATGTACAAAGGGGTCCATCGCCTAGTAATCAGAATCACCAATTGTATCAGAACCCCCATCAGCAACAATGGCTGAGAAGAGCTCAGTTGTCGTCCGCTGAATCAAACGTTGACGAGGTCGAAAAGACTGTACAATCGGAGGCCATCGATTCCAGGTGGGTTTCATTCCGTTTCTATCATTTTCTGTGTTCTTTGTGCTTTATGTTGTGCATTGTTTTTTGAATTCAGTGGTGGTATTGTGGATTATTGATGCTTCTTTGGTAAGCTGGGTTTTAAGCATTTGAGATTTGAAAGTAGAATCATATGGACTATTTTTATGAATAGTAAACTTCCGTGGAAGGTAAGGTTTGGTATCAAGTAAAATGGGGTGTTGGGAACTCAAAGGGTGAAAACTTGAAGTTTGAAATTGTAGGTCGAGAGGTTTGACAAATGCATATTCGGGTGGGTCAGAGAATTGCAAAATGCAGAACCTGTTTTTACATTTGGATTTGTCAGTATGCTTTTACATTTTTGGCAGCAGTCAGCGTGAGTCATATGGCTGACTTTAATGTTTGGTTGATTGCTGTTCCCCATAGTTGGCCTAGTTGTGAGGACCTTTCATGTTTCATAGTGTGTTTATGTTTCTTTTGTTTTGTATGTAGTCTTTCAAAAGCTTTTTTTTTATAATGTTCACATGATGCATTCTCTTTTTGGTGCCAAGGCTTCAACTTCTCTGATTGTTTGTTTGTTTTGATACTTGAACTTCAAGATATTTGTTTGAAAAAAGAATGATGTACTTGAGTTGTACTAAGTGTGGTGTCACCTGCAGATTAACAAGACATTCCTGCATGCAATTGAAGAATGAATTGAAAAGTTGTGGAATTTTAATCTTTGAAATCAGATGCATATTGTGTCTAGGAAATTTCGTTTTCCTTTTTCACTGACTTTGTAGGAAAAATATGTGCGTATTCCCTGATTTATGCATATGTTGCCCCTTTGCTTGTTGAGTTATGACCTCTCTCTCTCTCTCTCTCGACCGTGCCAACTAACACTACATATGTAACATTCTGGATTTTCTCTTGACTAGTTCACAAGATTGGAAGGCACACTTGAAATTACCACCTCAGGACACCCGTTACAGAACTGAAGTAAGATTTTTGCCGACTTGTAAATTGTGGATGTGCGGCCGATATTTCTCTTTATTTTTGGCTTGGTTTTGAACTTGACATCTGGGTGTGATTGTCTTTTTTGTCTTCATATAAAAGTTTGACATTCTTGATGAAATTTGTTCTCCTGGTTGCTGTATCTGTGTCTTTCAGGATGTTACAGCTACTAAAGGAAATGAATTTGAAGACTACTTTTTGAAGCGTGAGTTGCTTATGGGAATTTATGAGAAGGGTTTTGAGAGACCGTCTCCAATCCAGGAGGAGAGTATTCCGATTGCTCTAACTGGAAGTGATATCTTGGCTCGGGCAAAGAATGGAACTGGGAAAACTGCTGCATTTTGCATTCCAGCATTGGAGAAAATTGATCAAGATAAAAATTCTATTCAAGGTTTGTATTATTCGGTGGAAGTTTCTCTGAACTTGTGACGTAGAATTTTTAATCTTAATGTGCTAGTCTGAATTAATATCTGTAAGGCCATGTCATTTACGGTGTACTAGTTTTCCTCAACTGAGGTTTGCAATCATACATTGCCATTTTACAGATATGTTGAAGGGCCTACTAAGAATATGAAATATGTTCAGTCTGCATCATGATAAATCATCTCAGTTGATTTGGTATTTATATCGTTTTAAATCTGTGACAACATTGTCTAAGGTCTTCATCTGGTTTTCAACGTTGTTCGTGCCTCTGTTACTTGAATTTATATCATTGATTTGCTCGGTTGTTGTAGTTATGTTTATTTATAGTATTCGTTTCTAATTTAGATCATCTCACACATTCATCTTTGCAGTTGTCATTCTTGTCCCGACAAGAGAATTGGCTCTTCAAACATCACAAGTTTGTAAAGAACTTGGGAAGCACTTAAAAGTTCAAGTTATGGCTACAACTGGAGGAACTAGCCTGAAAGATGACATAATGCGTCTTTATCAACCAGTTCATTTACTTGTTGGGACACCTGGAAGAATTCTTGATCTAGCAAGAAAGGGTGTTTGCATTTTGAATGAATGTTCTATGCTCGTAATGGATGAGGTATGAAAATGTTATGTATCTTCCCTCCTGTTATTTGACCATATATTAGAATGTGGAGTTCAGGACGCTTATCTGTGATCTCATTTCCAGTCTACCTGTCATGCTATTTGTCTGAATAACTCTCAATTAACGAAGTCTTTCTATCTGATATTTCGGTTTTGGTGTTGGTATTCTATATTATCGTGACCTCTTGATGATTATACTTTAAATTGGGCATTTTTCTTTTCTACCTGCCTTTCCTCTGCGGGAACATTTGATTTTAATTGTGACAATATGTTGTGCAGAGTGATTACGGCACCCATTTTGTAATGTTTTTCAGGCTGATAAGCTTTTGTCTCCAGAGTTTCAACCTTCAATAGAGCAGTTAATTCGATTTTTACCTGCAAACCGTCAGATCCTAATGTTTTCAGCTACATTTCCTGTTACTGTGAAAGATTTCAAAGATCGGTACCTGCATAGGCCTTATATCATAAATCTTATGGATGAGCTTACTCTCAAGGGTATATCCCAGTTTTATGCTTTTGTTGAAGAAAGGCAGAAAGTTCACTGCCTCAACACTCTTTTTTCAAAGGTCAGATACAGTAGACCTATTTGGCCCTTTTCCATCTCTTTAATTTATTTTCTGTATCTGATATTATCTATTCTTTTTGCTCTCAGCTTCAAATAAACCAATCTATTATTTTCTGCAATTCCGTGAATCGAGTTGAACTTCTTGCCAAGAAAATCACAGAACTTGGCTATTCTTGCTTCTATATACATGCTAAGATGCTTCAAGATCATCGCAACAGAGTATTTCATGACTTCCGCAACGGTGCCTGCAGGAATCTTGTCTGCACTGGTATGTTTCGAGCTTATTGTTATATTCATGCCATGAATTTCTGTCCGGTTTGTGTTATTATTCTGTTGAAAATAATCTTTATATCTATTGACTCTGGAAGTGGTCCTTGATTAATGGTTATACAGAAAAGGAATGCAATGTGCAGTAACTTTGGTTGTTGGCTGTTGCTCGTGGTTTTGCTGTTAGCTTTTAATCGAGATTCATTGAAAATATTTATGCTTGTCAGCTGCAGTTAAGTGTAGAGTTATTCATTGATTAATCATCTGAAAGTAGCAACACGAGAAGCAATGAACGAGAGCCCACCTGTTATTTAGTTTGGTTTCATGCTTGGTGTACTGCCCTCGCCCATATTGAGATTTTAAGAACTAGTGTTCAATATGTTTGTAAATGTGTGTGCGTCCATTCTCAAAGTTCAATTGAGAATATTCTTGGAATCTTATGATGATTGCCTTTCCCATCATTTCTCACTATCTTTTCCATCATTTAGGTCGATCATATTCTTATATTCAGAAATAGTAAATTATTGATTAAATTCATGACATGCAAAATGCCAGGATTTATTACATCTTGAACAATTCTTTAGTGTTGTAATTTGAGAACTGTACAACCGTGGGCTTGATTGAAGATTCTAGAAAATGTAGAAGTAGAAGGTATAGAAATACTGCAAATATGTTTTTGTCTACATTGATTCTTCTTCTCTTCTCTTATGATCATATTGTAGACTTGTTTACAAGAGGGATCGATATCCAGGCAGTCAACGTTGTTATCAATTTTGATTTTCCCAAGAATTCAGAAACTTATTTGCACAGGGTATGATACTTTACTGCCTAGAGTTTTTTAGTTCGTTTCATGTTTCACATGTTTTGTCTGCTTTTTTTTTCCTTATCATATTTACCATGCTATGTGTAGGTTGGTAGATCTGGAAGGTTCGGACACCTTGGTTTAGCTGTGAATCTGATTACCTACGAGGACCGCTTCAACCTGTATGCATGCTGTCCCTTAGTTATTCTATAGGACCGCTTCAACCTTTTTTTT